GGGGGTGGCCTGGCTGGGAAGCCCACCTTCCCCGCTCACAGGCAGATGCAGAGGTTGCCTGCCGTCAGCTGCTCCTTTTGCTCTCACCCAGTGCCCTCCGCATCTGAACTGGAGCGGCAGCCAAATCGGCGTCACCCAGGCTACGCTCACCACGCTCCACAGACTGGCCTAACCCCCAGCACTCGCGGGGCTGGTGTGGGAAGCACTCTGGTAAACCATCAGAGAGCAAACCCACCACTTGCCCCTGGCACCCACAGCCCCACAGCACTGCAGCACAGGGCCCCGCTGCCACAGGGAGCGACTGTGGGCGGTGGTGGGAACGGGGCGAGCCAGGCTGATGGCACTGGGGACACCCGGGAGGGATCTGGCCCCAAGGCACCAGAGCGTCACCCTCCACGCATCACACCAGTAAGCTCAGGGGCAGAGGGTCCCTGTGAGGGGATGCAAAACCAGCAGCAGCTCCCGGGCCTCCAGAGCGGCTCCTGCTCCTTGCCGACTGTGGGCGGTGGTGGGAACGGGGCGAGCCAGGCTGATGGCACTGGGGACACCCGGGAGGGATCTGGCCCCAAGGCACCAGAGCGTCACCCTCCACGCATCACACCAGTAAGCTCAGGGGCAGAGGGTCCCTGTGAGGGGATGCAAAACCAGCAGCAGCTCCCGGGCCTCCAGAGCGGCTCCTGCTCCTTGCATCCCGGAGCCCAGCCCGGAGACAAGTCCGCTGGCAGATGGGGACCCCATCGCTGTGCCAGCCTGCCCTGGCCAGCACCCAGCTCCTCCGTGGGCCTGGCCGAGGGGGCCCGTGGGAGCATGGCAAGGGAATCACCACCATTCCCCCCTGCCCTGGCTTTGGACAGCGGGCTTCCCCCTCCGAGGCGCCAGTGTAATACCCTAATCTGCTTTGCTGCTGGGAGTTTAATCCTGCAGATCTAGGACAGCATCTGTCCCTCTCATCCCCCCGCAGCGATAAGCGCAGATGGATTTAGGCAGTGGGAGCAGCGAGGGGCCGAGCGCAGGGCTCGGCGGGCAGGGTGACATATGGTGCCAGCGCTGTAATCCCCCACAGCCCCCGAGCAGGTAAAGCTGAAGGGGCAGGGGCTGGTCCCATGCTCCTCCACCACCACCCGCTGTGACTCAGCTGGGGCAAGGGTCCCATCGCTGGCGAGGCAGCCCTTGTCTTTGTCACGGCAGGC